AATGTCTTGTTGGATGGCGAACTAAACGACAGGCTAGGAGACTTTGGACTACTGAGGCTATATAGTCATGAGACCGATCCTGAGTCTAGTCGTGTCGCAGGTACTTGTTAGGAAAAATGCGGATAAACACAAAAATATATATATGGTAAAAGTAAAGGAAAAAAAATGGGAGAATAATGACACCAAGAATTTTACGTGGAAATAAGGAAAAACACCACGGACCAAGAGGAGCAACTGATATCACTATAGTAAGGAATTTTATACTGTATAGTCACGAATACAATACTCAAAGTGACTACTACACACTCAAAAGGAACAACACTCTTTTGCTTTCCACCTTACTAAAATATTGCTCACACTCCATTTTTTTTCACAGACTGTTTATCTTGTATAGTCTATGGAATATCTCACTTTGCTCTCAAAATGGATTTTCTCTCTAACTTGGTGTATTCTACAAATGAGCAAGAATACTCTATTTATAGAAGAAATTTACAATTAATGATGTCACCAATGACATCATGAAAATACTAAGTTTCAAATTTTGCAACTTAAGTAGTTATCTTGGTAGATTTCGTTGGTATGTTGTTGTACCAAATTAAGACTTTGATAATTAATATGGGGCTGGAACCCCACAAATCTCCCTCTCCAGTCTCATTTACTAGAAGGAGGTATCTTCATCCTCTTTAGAGAGAGCTCATACCCACATGTTCTTTGCATAACTCGAACTTGTCTTTCGGTATTGTCTTGGTCAGCATATCTGCAGGATTTTCACTTGTGTGGATCTTTTTGACATGAAATGATTCACTCTCCACTTCCTCACGAATGTAATGATATCTGACGTCAATGTGTTTTGTTCTTGCATGGTACATGGAGTTCTTACTCAAGTCTATTGCACTCTCGCTATACTCCATCTGATTCAAACCAAGCTCTTGAAGAAATTGTTTTAGCCATATCATCTCCTTGCCGGCTTCAGTAGCCGCTATATACTCAGCTTTAGTTGTAGATAGTGTAACACACTTCTGCAACTTCGACTGCCATGATATAGCTCCCCCTGGAAAATTCAACAGATATTTAGTGGTGGATTTTCTATTATCAAGTTCACCTGCCATATCAGCATCTGTATAGCCTTTCAAGATTGGATTTGATGCTCCAAAACACAAGCATTCATTTGAGCTTCCTCTAAGATACCCGAGTATCCACTTTACAGTTTCCCAATGCTCCTTTCCTGGATTTTCGAGAAATCTGCTAACTACACCAACTGCGTAAGCAATATCAGGTCCAGTGCATACTATTGCATATATTAGACTTCCGACGACGAAGGAATATGGAACTTTGGCCATGTTCTCTTTTTCCTGCCTAGCTGTAGGACACATCTTCTTGCTCAACTTTATATAACTAACAAGAGGTGTACTAACACCCTTAGCATTCTTCATGTTGAAGCGCTCTAGTACACGTTCAATGTACTTCTTCTGGGACAAATAAATCTTCCTTTTATCTCTCAGACGATTAATTCTCATGCCCAAAATTGCTTGGCATGGCGCAAGTCTTTCATAGAAAAAGTCTTACACAACTCTTTCTTCTGCTCGTCAATCTTGAAAGTATTCTTGACCCCAATCAACATATCATCCACACACAGCAAAAGGATGATAAAATCATTGTCAAATTTTTTTTGTACAAATGCACAATGATCTGAAGAAACCTTCTTATAACCTTGCTCCTCCATAACAGATTCAAACTTCTTGTACCACTATCTAGGAGCTTGCTTTAGTCCATATAGACTCTTTCTGAGTTTGCACACAAATTTTTCTTTACCATCTACTTTAAAGCCCTCGGGTTGTTCCATATAAATTTCTTCTAGATCATCGTGAAGGAAAGCTGTCTTAACATCCATCTGCTCAATCTCTAAATTAAGACTAGCAGCCAAACCTAGAATTGTCCGAATCGAGGATATTCACAATAGGAGAAAATATTTCGTCAAAGTCAATACCCTTCCTTTGACCAAATCCCTTAACAACCAATCTAGATTTGCACCTGGGCTTCAATTTGTGTTCTTCAACTTTAACTTTGAACACCCATTTGTTCTTCAAAACTCTCATGCCCTTAGGAAATTTTACCAACTCATAAGTGTGGTTCTCATGCAGAGACTTAATCTCATCTTGCATGGTTTCAATCCGTTGATCCTTGTTCTCATCTTCCATGGACTCCTCATAACATTCAAGTTCTCCCACGTCAGTGAGTAACACATACTCATTGGGTGAATAAAGGGAGGAAGGAAATCGTTGTCTTGTATACCTCCGAAGTAGAATATTTTATTCGTCCACAACTTCATGAGCAACAGGATCATCAATAACAATATCATTGTTATTATCAACATCAACATGTTGATTCTATACATGATTCTGGGCTTCACCATGATTATCAAGCCCAACAACATCATGCATACTTGTGTAAGAAACTTCATCATGATGAATTATACCATCAAAACTCAAAGATTATACCTTCTCTGCTTTGTCAATATCTTCAATTGTTTGATTCTCCATGAAAATAATTTCACGGCTTCTCACAAGTTTCTTTTCAATTGGATCATATAGCTTGTAACCAAATTCATCAAGGCCATATCCAATGAAGATGCATTGCCTTGTCTTGGCATCTAACTTTGACCTCTCATCTTTCGGCACATCTACAAAAGTTTTGCAACAAAATAATCTCAAATGGTCATATGAAACATCCTTTACATACCAAAAAATATTTGGTACATCACTTTGCAAAGCAACAACAGGAGATAGATTAATAACATGTATAGCAGTCAATAAAGCCTCACCCCAAAATGAGTTCAACAACTTTGCTTTAGAAAGCAAACATCTAACTTTTTCCATCAAGGTATTGTTCATCCTCTAAGCAAAACAATTAAGATGAGGAGTTTTGGGATGAGTCTTCTGGTGTCTAATACATTGATGCTTGCAGCATTTGTCAAAGGGTCTACAATATTCACCACCATTATCAGTACGAATACACTTCAGTTACTTTCCAGTTTTTCTTTCAACTGAAGCTTGAAACTGCTTAAAGACACCTAACACTTGGTCTCAGGTCTTCAAAAAATAGACCCAAAGTTTTCTCGAGCAATCATCAATGAAGGTGACAAATTAGAGTGCACCACCCAATGTTTTTGTTTTCATTGGACCACATAAATCAGAGTGCACCAACTCAAGCAACTATGTCTTTCTCGAAGGAGGGTAGAACTTAAAGGAAACTATATTTTGTTTACCAGCCAAGTAGTGCTCAAACATTTCTAATTTAGGACTTTTGAAATTTGACAAAAACTTCTTCTTGGCTAGAACATTAACTCCTTTCTCATTGATGTGGCTAAGTCTCTTGTGTCATGATGTTAAAGAGTTATCACTCTCAACCGCATTCACCATATCAACACAAGCATAGGTCGTAGTCCAGTATAGACCACGACGTTTGTTACCACGAGCCACAACCAAGGAACCCTTAATGAGCTTCTATTTTCCATCAATATTGGTACTAACATATCCTTCATTATCTAAAACACCAATAGAAATCAGGTGCAGACGAACATCAGGAGCATGTTTCACATTTTTCAAAACTAGTTTAGTTTCACCACTAGTTTTCAAACAAATTGTACCAATACCAACCACCCTAGAAACAATCTCATTACCCATATTCAAAGTTTCAAAATCACCACGATTATAGGAAGAGAAAAAATCCTTCCTTGATGTCACATGAGATGCGGCACCAGTGTCCACAACCCAGCTTGACTCATCACAAGTAATATTCATCATATCCGCATAAAGGACAGTAACAAGATCTTCGGTGGTAACGGTGGCTTAGAAATTTTCATTGCCATCTTCTTTAGTTTCCTCTTTGTTTTTGTTTAACCTCTTCAACTTTCTGCAGAACTTCTTTGTGTGCCATTTCATGCTACAATGATAGCACTCAATATCTTTAAGTCTGCCTCTAGATTTGCTTCTATTTTGTTCTCTATACTGAGAACCACGAGTTTTGTTTATCCCCCTAGGTCCAGTTATCAAGACATCCGACGAAGAAGGATTTTGAGTTTTTCTTCTCATATTTTCGTTCAAGACACTACTCTTGGTGTAATCCGTAAAGATCATACCATCCGGAGCAGAATTTGACAGTGAAGTTCTAAATGTTTCCCAAGAGTCTGGTAGGGAACCAAGTAGAAGCAAGCCTTGAATTTCTTCATCAAATTTGATACCCATTGAAGATAACTTATTCATGATCCCCTGAAAATTATTCAGATGGTCTGTAATCGGAGAACCATCATGATACTTTAAACTCAACATCTGCTTTATTAAGAACATGTTGTTGTTGCTAGACTTCCGAGCATACAAATTTTCAAGATGCTCACATAAGGTTCGAGCATGTGTTTCTCCAGAAATATGGCTCAACACATTATCATCGACCCATTGCCTAATGAATCCACAAACTTGTCTGTGCAACAGATTCCACTCTTCATCTGTTTTATTATCGAGCTTTACAGTCATAAATACTGGTTCATAAAAATTCTTAACATAAAGCAGATCTTTCATTTTTTCCTTCCAAATGACATAATTAACACCATTCAAAGTAACCATTCTACTTGTGTTGGCTTCCATCGTTTTTCCCCAAAAAATATTGTTATCGCAAATCAAAATAAATCTTTTCTGATGTGGAAGTTCAGACTGTGCTGCAACCACAGAGCATACTCAGATAAAACTTTGGCTCTGATACCAGTTTGTTAGGAAAAATGCGGATAAACACAAAAATATATATGGTAAAAGTAAAGGAAATAAAATTGGAGAATAATGATACGAAGAATTTTACGTGAAAATCCTTCTAAATAAAGGAAAAAGCCACGGGCCAAGAGGAGCAACTGATAGCACTATAGTAAGGAATTTTACACTGTGTAGTCACGAATACAACACTCAAAGTGACTACTACACACTCAAAAGGATCAACACTCTTTTGGTCCACCTTACTAATATATCGCTCACACTCTATTTTTCTTCACAGACTATTTATCTTGTATAGTCTATGGAATATCTCACTTTGCACTCAAAATGGATTTTCTCTCTAACTTAGTGTATTCTACAAATGAGCAAGAATACTCTATTTATGGAAGAAATTTACAACTAATGATGTCATCAATGACATCATGAAAATACTTAAGTTTCAAACTTTGCAACTTAAGTAGTTATCTTGGTAGATTTAGTTGGTATGTTGTTGTACCAAATTAAGACTTTGACAATTAATATTGGGCTGGAACCCCACAGTACTTACCTTGCACCAGAGCATACTATAATTGGCAGGGCAATGCCTAGTAGTGATGTATTTTCCTTTGGGGCTTTTCTGCTTGAAGTTGCCTGTGGTGGGAGGCCAATAGAGCCAAGACAAGACGATGATGATCTGATTTTAGTCGATTGGGTGGTCTTGTGCTGGAATAGGGGTAATATTCTTGAGGCAGTTGATCCAAACATAGGGATTGATTTTGTTCCAGGGAAAGTGGAGTTGGTCTTAAAGCTAGGCTTGTTTTGCTCTCATTCAGAGCCCTCATTTAGGCCAACCATGCGACAAATCTTGCTGTTCTTGGATGGTGTTGTGGCCTTACCAGAGTTATCATCACTCAGTATTTCATCAGCTGGTTTAACCATTGTATCCATCTTCAGTAGTTAGTCCACATTTTCGCTCTCCATCTGCAAGCTTAAATATGTAGTAACTTAAGCTTGTAAGCTATAATCATGCTTAATTTTCTCATCAATTTGGCTTCAACTTAGTAGCATACATATAGTCAGCTAATAATCTGCATGCATAAGAACTTGCTCATATGTTACTTCCATTGTTTCCTGCAGAGCTACCATTTAATTTAGAAGTTACCTTGCTTGGAAGTTTAGCAAACTCAACGACACGGATTGCCTAGTAATTTTCTTGTGAAACCTACATATCCAAGATTACAATTACAATTACCACCTGAAGACTTCCAACAGCACTTCCAAGCTAAATCCCAGTCATCGCGGCAATGCCACACCAGGCATGTTGTTGCTGTGGAGTGCTGAGTTTGACAAGCTATATAACAACATGTTATATTTGTTACTATACAAATAATGTACTAATGTACAAGCAGAATCTCAGTTCTTTGATCTTTACTGTTATGTTCTTTTCCCTTTATAAATTTTTTTTAAAATTAAGTTTTAAGTCAACTATATGATGTAGAATTTCTTCTTTCTGTTCCTTATTCAAACTTCCTCATTGAGCCCAACAATGACTTTTGGGGATATCATTTTCTTCACTGGCATCATATGATGTTATTATCAATTAAATGGACCACAATTATAGGTAAGAGAAGTTAAATGCAGAGGACAGACTTCAATACACATCTTCTGGTATGTTATATCATAAAACTTCCTTCGTTTAAAAAAGAAGGACCTATTTCCTTTTTAGTCGAACTGAAAAAGAAGAACTACTTTTCTTGGATACTAATCGCGTACGTCCTGGACTGAGCCTTTCCTCTGTAGTGATCAGGTAGGCCACGATCTTGAATGAGGAATCGTAGATATAAATATCAAGTTTCGCTAACCATCTTTGTTATTTCATCAGTTTTTGTGTAATGTAACTTTACACTTCTATTACAAGCCTAGTATCATCAACAAAATTTGAAAGAATGAAGGTTACTCTAATAAAAATCAATAAAATGGGGGAAAAAAGGTTAACAAAATAAAAGATAAAAGATGTTGTTAAGAGAGTATAATATGAAATATCAACATTTAGGAAGATCAGCTGGTGGAGGAAGTAACTTTTGCTTAGGACTTTTTCCATCAGTTACCATCCAAACCATTTTCAAGCCCCAACTTGTGTGTACTTCAAGATGACAATGCATGAACCATACTCCTAAAAAAGTTCAAAAATATTATGTCAACAAGTTATCAACAAAAAAAATAGATATTTCAATTCAAAACATTAACTTAATTAATGAGTTTATGTTCTGTACGCTGACAATGAAATTATTTTTGGCATAATACGTAACAAACACTCAAACTTAGCCTCAATTGGTAAGTAAGTAATACCACGTAACTTTGAGAGTGCACATCTAGATACCTCAACTAGACCCTCCAACTCGTGCCCGCTGTGTCTTGTAGACACTTGACATTAAAGTAGCAGATAAACTTTAGAGGTGTCTCAATGATGATTTTGTAGATGTTGGAGTATTTAACTAACACATTGGAGACGAGTTGAGGTGTCTAGATGTGCATACTCAAAGTTTAAGTGTTTGTTTCTGTATTATGCTCTTTATTTTTACATGTAACTTCATATGAAGTCTCGTATAGTACTAAAATTAAGTGCTTGATACTATTAATGTATATAACTTAAAATCTAATGTAATACCTGGATTGTCTGCAAGGAAGCGAATGGCGACCCAACCTCCAGACGGAACACCAACAGTGTTCCTTTCAGCAGGATCAACAAGGTTGAAATTAGCAGGATCTTTGCTAGAATTATAATTTCCAAATCCTTGTCCAACCACAAAGAAATTGAAACCATGAAGGTGAAGTGGATGACTTTCGGCGCTTATAATACTTGTATCTTGCATAACTAATTCCACACTAGTATTAAAAGGCAGCATCACAACTTTTGTGCCTGAGGTAACAAAACTATTGTTTGGTGGATTTCCTGTGTAATTGAATTTAAACGGCGGATTGACTGGAAAATCTGTTGTGTAAACTCCTTTAGATTGGTTAAAATAGTGTGATTGAAGCAAAGCTACATTTGGCTGAACAAACGATACGTTGTTAACAGAAGCTGCCAATTTAGTGTTATTTGGTCCTTGACATGTTTGATTCTTAGGACATGGATTCAATCCTAATCCAACAGTGAAGAAAAAATGTTTATCAACTCTTTTAGGTACATTAGCTGGAAACTTCGCGTTAGCTAAGCTTCTGATTTTCTTGACAAAACTTGTAGCAAAAGTTGTGTCATTGAATATAGGGAGTTTTGAGTTCAACAGAGGAAATTTGTTACTCTTTTTAGTATTGTTAGAGTGTTGATGATATTCTAATATTCCAGTGGTGGTGGAATTGTCAAATGAAGCAGGACCAGTCGCGTAAGGCCGAGCTGACATGAGGAAGGTGGCTTTAGGATGAAAATGTTTGGTTTTCAAGAGGACGTTTGTGGTTTGTCCTGGTGTTATAAGAATTATGTTTGCGTTGAATGGTTTCACATAAACAGCATCGACTTCTACAACAGTAAGGCTATGATTTGCTATACTGAAAAAAAGTTCATCATTTAGTGCAGCATTGACTACTCTTAGTAGATATGTTTTCCCTGGTTTCACCTTCAATTTGAATGTATCTGCAACACATATGAAAGTAATTAAGTTTCTATGTTTACATGAAAAAATGTGACAAAAAAGTCTTGTTTGGTTGAATTTTGCAAGAGTTTGGACGATGTTAACTATATTTGTACAATCAGATCATTTATAAGGTAATTATAAGTAAGTCTAGCTCTATGATATGCCCCTCCCTTCAATGATATTGTTGATTGTGAAATAAGGCACAAACACTCCTTAGACTATGACCGAAATCTCAGAGACACACCTTAACTTAACTAAGGTTCTATTAATCTCAACTCATTTGTTTTGTAATTTTGTAATGGTACACTCCGTGACTTGAGGCGCGTGAGAGATGTTTGAATGTCAGTGTACAGAATTACAAAAAAATGGATTCGGGGGTAATAGGACTTTAGTTTAGTTAAGGTCTGTCGCTCGAATTTCGGTCATACTCTAGGAGGTACTTGTGCCTTATCTCGTCGATTGATATACAACACAAGAACTCATCTCTCGATATAAAGAAGTTTAGAAGGCAAAAATGATAAGCAATAACTTGATAAAAAGAACAAGTAAATTTACTATAACAATTTAAAATTACATTATCTATATATAAAACTCCAAAATAATTTTTGAAATATTTACCTTTAGCAGAACAATTGTGGAGAAGTCCAGGTAGACCATTGATGGTATAAGCATCAGAAATATTTGGAGGTCCTCCTGTTTGAAGGGCTTGATTAACTATTTTCTCTGTATCTGCCTTCCACCATTCACCTAAAATCCAAATACATTATTATGTATAATAATTGACTAAAGAGTCGATTTTTCAGATGATTACTTGACAAAAAGTCAGTTTCATTATTAAAAAAATATATAACTATTAATCGAATAGTCATATGAGAAGTCAACTGTAACATAACTTTTTTAAAAATAAGTTGAGTATGTATATTTACCAAAAAGAATTGGGACTTCTTTGAAGGGTTGTGGAAAAGGATAAGCAACACCTTTCTTTGGAAGAATAACAATAGGTCCATAGAGTGTTACTCTTAGCCATGAAATGTGTGCATGCCAAAATAAAGTTCCTCTTTGACCAGTAATAGTGAAATTATACACATAACTTTGCCCTCTCTGAATTGGGCATTGTGTAATATAAGCTGGTCCATCTGCCCATCCACTTCTTAGTTGTCTCACTCCATGCCTAGAGACATGCATGTAAGACAAATATTTAACTAATTATACTATTTAATAAATGAGTTCAACTTTTATGAACTGACAGTGCGATAGAGATTTAATATTAGACTAGGCACATTAGAGTTGTAAGCAAGCTATACATACTATTTGGTTTTGAGTTTAACTTCTACGCATCGATAATATAAAGGAATTTTATATTTCAAATAACCTAAATGATGAGTACATAGGTAGAGGTATTTGTTTATAAAAAGTGAAATTAGTAACCTTGAAAATAATCAAAACCTTGCAATGAGATAAGTAAACATTCTTTGCATTGTTAGTGGAGTTGATTTCTCATATCAGATTATAGCAAAAGAGACTAAAATTTAGTGGTAACAAATAAAAAATTTAGTGGCAATATTTATTATTGCAAAAATATTTATTGGCAATTGAGTTAATGTCATTACATTTAGAATTAAAGTCTTTAGCGATATTCACACTATATTAAAATATTTTTTAACGGTAATAGCTTATTGATTTTAAAAATTATTTTTGTTATAGTGCTACATATATTTGTGTTGGTTATAGATATTCATATTATATTATTACCGCTAAATAAATATTGCGATAATTATATTATTGATATAGTGTCACTTAACTGATAGCTATTATCATAAAAGTCACAATTTTCTTTTGTGCGAGAAAACTGTAGAAGAAGTGACCTCCCTCTGAAATAATAATTATTAATTAGTTGAGTGACCATAAGAGATATCGAACTCATTGTTAGTGTATACCATCCTTCTAATATTTGCTTTAGAAAACTCATTTTGTAGAAATGTAAATATTATTAAGAAATGAATTAGCTTCCAAATTGTAAAAGTAATTGTTATAACATACCAATGAATAGTGACATTGTGTTGAACATTGTTAACAACCTTAATAACAAGTCTATCTCCTTCTCTTGCAATAATTCTAGGCCCTGGAAACTTCCCATTCACTGTTACAATGTTCTTTGTTTGACACAATCTGGTCACATTTTGCATTTGAATCTGCATTAATCAAATGGAAAAAAAGAATAATTAAAATGAAAACAAAATTGCCAATGCACTATGAAATAATTAAAAATGACATATATACATTAAACTATTAAAATGAAACAAAATTGATAATGCACTATGAAATAATTAAAAATGACAATATATACATTAAACTTATAGTGCCTTGTAATCCCTTCATGTTTTGCAAGTGCTAGTGTATCAACTAAAACCAAGAAAAATATAACCAATAAAAAGAGATTATAAGTCTTTAGAAAAGAGAACTCCATGTGTGTTGAATTGTTTTTTTTGTTGTTGTTGTTGGTTTGTTTTTTTGTTGAGAGATATTTGGTGGAAAAATAATTGGAATCTTAGTTGTTTTTGGATGGTTATTAATGAATAAAATGGAAGATTTATATATATTGTGAGTGTTTGGTCAATTAGGTGGTTAAAATAGGGATTATTGACCAGCTATAGGGTATTGGCTCAACCATACTTTTGAGTGATGTTAAAGTCTGATAATTATTTTGTTATATTATTTTATTCATAGTCCACAAAGTTTTTTTTTTAAAAAAATGAAATCTCCAAATCACTATATGCATGTTTTTATGCTTAATTCCTTTTTTATTGTGCTTTTTATCCTCACTTTTTTGTGATAGTTATTCATAAATATTTATTCGTACGGAGTGTTTATATCAATTCAAAATTATGTTTTTTTGAGATACTTTGTAGGATGGTTCACCCCTCCTTTTGTTAAGAAGAAATATGTTTTCGCAATTCCTAATAATTACATACGATTATTTGAATACTCATTTCATCGCGAAGGAAATATGTATTAGGTTTTTATAAAGAAAGATGAAGAATATATAGATCTCAATGTATAATTAATTTACATATAGTAGATATATCTTTAGAAGCACAAAAAAGAAGAAAAGGAAAAGGAATAGAAACGGAATCAGAATTTGAAAAAATAAATAATCAAAAGGATAATGACTCGAACCCTCAGTCGACCTAATCACTCGAACAAGTCTTACTTGTTGGAATTGAATTTATATGATCATGCTGAAACTCTCTTTTTTTTAACCACAATTCATTAAATATATTGGGTTCAACATCAATTACTTATATTTATTTATTGAACTTTTTTGTAGAATCTAAGACAATATTATTGAGTTTAGATGAATCTGTAACTTAAGGCCATACACTCATCCGGTGGAGTCACGTGCACTTAAAAAGAATTCGAGTAAACCACTTTATTCTTAGAAAAGTTATATCGCATTAAATAGGGTAAAATAATTTATTTTATACATATTAATAAATTTTAATCTTTCTAATTAACATAAGTGAACTATAGATTAAAAATCTTAGATGTAACGTCTTCTGTCATTTTCGAATCTATTCATTAGAAATTTTGGCTCCGCTACTAACTTCGAGTAGAGAGGGAAAAGAAAGACAATTTATTAAATAAGATATTGCATGCGATTTTGCAAAAATATTGTTGCGATATATAACTATATCCCAAAAAAATTATCTCAATACTATTACCCCATAATTTAACAACATTTTGCAATATTATTGTAAGTGTAAATTGGTAACACATACTCAGGGGCGGAACCACATATATATACATAAGGAATGTCAATCAACATTCCTTTATTAAAAAATTACATTATGTAACTAGATAAAATTATTTTTTATGTATATATATCACATATTAACACTTCTTGATTTCTACGCAGTTTTACTTTTTTACATTATGATACTTTTTAGTCGAAATTTTAGGCTTACTATACATACTCATGTCAACATAAAATGAAGAAAATAAATTATTTTGTGAACCAGAAAATTGGCAAATTATAAGTTGCTAATAAGTTGCACTCATTCTCCAACCAGTAATCAACATAGGGGACTTTAACATCATATACTGTTAGTTGTTGTTGGTTGTTAATTATTTTTTTTCAATTGTTGTGTACCTTATAACAACATTGATGTTGATTGGTATGTTATTAATAACTATTACTTTGTTTTTAATTATATGCAAAATTGATTTGATTAGAATTAGGGAAAAGGGTCTGATATACCCCTCAACTTTGTTATTTGGAGCTAATATACCCCTCGTTATAAAAGTGGCTCATATATGCCCTTACCGTTATACAAACGGCTCACATACCCCTCCCGTTACAAAATGGCTCATATATACCCTTCATTTAACGGAAGTTAAAAAATTAGTTTTAAATTGATATTTATTACTTGTAATTTTTTTAAAGAATTATTTAGGGATATATATGATTCTTCTATCAAAGTTTTTTTTTTTTTTTTATCAAAGTTTAAGGTATATTTTAATTTTTTTCCTATATAAATTATATTTTGACTTTTTTTTATTATAATTATTTGAGTTTCTTATTCTTATGTTTTTTCTTTCATTCCTTAGTTTAAAGAGAAAAAAGTTAAACTATTTTTTTTTGTGTAATTTCGTATTCGAAGAAAAAATTTGGTCATCTACAATAAGTTTTACAAGAATATTAGTGAAACATAAATAAATTTGATTATCAAAATAATAATTATAAATTAGTCATTGAAACAAAAAAAGGTCAAAAAAATATGTTTGACGAGGATTAAATTACTCATATGGATTATATTTTTTAGAAAAAAATAATAAAAGTTTAGATTAAAATTATTATTTTTTCCATTTCCGTTAGAGGAAAAGGGTATATGTGTGCCATTTGTTTACAAGTAGGGGTATATATGAACCACTTTCATAACAAGGGGTATATCAGCTCTAAATGACAAAATTGAGGGGTATATCAGACCCTTTTCCCTTAGAAATTATAACATTGTTGCAATAACTTTCCTGTATTGATATTATTTTAACTCAAAGTTTTTTGAAATTAATTACTCAACGAGAAAATTATATTCCAAATTCTTCAACTAACGATATGTCACGATTCAAAATCAAAGGTATGTAGCTACAATTCAGTAGCAAGAAGGGGGAGGTAAATTGTAAGTTCTTTTGCTATTTTAGTCAACTACAATGAGGTGGTCTTTTGGGATGGCTCGATTGACTTGGAGGGTTATCATCTATACGAGTGACTCGACATCGATCCCCTTTGAATATCTTCTGAGTCGAGCACGTCGCACTAGGCTTACCTAATGTGATTTAAATCTCTTGTGTAGTTTAAAATGGATGGATTTTAACTAGCGAATTTGTTACAAAATGGTATTGTGTTACACTTGGTAATATCAGTATATCAAAAATGATTTTTATTGGCAATTAATCAACGTCAATAGTTTAGTTATCACTAAATATATTTCTTTAGAGTCTATTGTTAGTGACAATTAAATTTTTCGTATTATTTATAAATGTCGCTAAAATCTATATCGACATTGAATCTAATGGCAAATTAATTAATCTTAGTAAAGGTTTTAGCACTTAGTTTATAACACTTAGTGACAATTAAATTTAGGAAAAATTGTATAAAATAGCAAACTAATAACCTAAATTAAATAGAATAGCTAGGGTTTAATTTAATTGTGCTCCATAGCAAACTTTATCTAAAATTTGCCAGCGTCTCTCTCCCAGGAATCTCGCTCGCCACTCTCCATTCTCGCTCGCCTCTCTCGCTTTATACACAGAAGTGTATAATTCTGTTTTTGTTTTGTATAAAGCGAGAGAAAATTGTATATACACATGCAAAAATGTATATCTTCGTGTTATACACTTAATTATACAATTTACAAACATTTTACTTCAAAAATTGCAGAGAAAAAGGCTAACGAATTATACAATTGTGAATTATACAATTGCAGTGAAATACAATTTTCTCTAGTTTTATACAACAGAAGTGTATATATTGTGTTTCTATTTTTGTATAAAGCGAGAAAAACATATATCTTTTTGCTATAAACTTATAATTATGCAATATACATACATTTTAATTCGATTCAACTATATGCAAAGCAAATTATACAATTGCAGCGAAATAGGCCAGCGAATTATACAATTTAGGCCAGCGAATTATACAATTTAGGCCAGCAAATTATACAATTGTATATGTATAGCGAATTATACAGTTTTTATGTTTGCTATGGAGCGCAATTATGCAAAGTTTGCTATATTATACAAATATGAATTTTTTGTTTGCTATATGTGAAAGTTGCGCTTAAATTTTTCCTATTATTTATAAATGTCGCGAAAACCTATATCGACATTGAATCTAATTGGCAACTAATTAATCTTAGTAAAGGTTGTAGCACTTAGTTTATAACACATGACATACAAGTTTGTATATATGTTGTTTGTATGATGACATATATATGTCTTGTAAATTTTATGTATGTTAACTCATGCATATTTCAACTGTATATAGTTTAACATATCTCAGAGTATGTTATGCATATTTCAACTGTATATATTAGTAGTATACAATAATATATGTAGAAAATGAGGAGATAAGAAGAAAGAGTAAAGGGAAAATCAATGGTTCAAAATTTCAAATAAATTCTACCATCTTAAGTTTATAATCTACTTTCATGTGCAGTAAAGGAAATAGATGTCAATTGCTTTGTATGAAGTTTTTTTTAAATGATTCAAAAAGAAGGTAACAATAATTCTCATTATTGATTCCAAATTATTTCTCAGTATTTGAATTACAAATATTCTCCACTCTCTCTCATGTAATCAAATAAAAATGAAATGAAAAACATTAAAAGTCAAGGGAAAAAAAAAGAGGTACAAAAATTTGCATGAAATTAAATTCTCAACACTTGGGGAGGTCCATTGGTGGAGGAGGCAACTTTTGATTTGGAAGTTTTCCATCTTGAACCAACCATGCCATTTTCAATCCCCAACTTGTGTGAACTTCCAAGTGACAATGCATAAACCATACTCCTATTAACAAAAAACATTATATATTATTAGCATATTACACTTTCTCTGTTCTTATTTATGTGATGATGTTTGACTGATCAGTACAGAATTTAAGTCATAGATATGTATGTCATTATAAATA